TTATGCCTACGAATCCGAAAGCTTGGTGCCATGTTGTATCGAATGAGACCGACGGAGTGCAAGACAAAAGGTACCATCGACACAGTTTTGTAACGTGATCTATTAAAAACAAACAATTTTGGATGAGACATCGCAGGACCACAGAAAAGGTATTTCGAACCGTATTCGAACCAAGTGAGTTTGACCATGGCAACCGTGAGCGCGCAAAAACACGCGCTGTTTTAGACCCGCCAGGATGTTTATTATGTGTTGTTATGTGCACTTTGCATATACAGGTTGTATACAGTATACATGTGCGATCATGAGACAAGCTGAACGTTAGAACCGAGACACGAGGAAGGGAGAGAAGAGAGCTCTGCCTACCATCCTTCCCATTCCTTCCACCCTCCTTCGTTTGTCCCGGGCTCTCCTCTCTCTCTCCCCCCTTCCTACCTTTCTGTTATTTCCTGTCTTTGCTCCTTCCTTCCACCTCTCCCTCCTTTGTCCCCATCCTTTTTATGCAAATAATGGGCCAATCTGAATCTAGAAGATGATGCTGGCATTTAGATTTGATTTAATGGGTTGCACATTTATTTATTATTCCAGGGGAGGTGTTAGTTACATACCAGACTATTTTTGTTGGAATAATTTGTAGATCTTTTTGTTGTATGGAGGCCTGACGTATATGTCAGTACCCCCCTCTGAAAAATAACTTGTAACATGTCGGTGAATGAAGTTGAATCATCTCACGCCAACAGGTAAGTGAAAAGAGATGAAACGATAAGCATGAATCAAACACAATTGCTGAATAGACCACAAAACACATAAGGTGTCGAGGGGGGAGAAGTGGGAGGTGGGAAAAGGAGATGTTAGAGGCAGGTAGTTTTTCAATATTGTATGGATATGTCGGATATGTTTATATAAGTGGTTTGTAGGCAAGGTTGTAAATACACATGAAATCATGTGAAAGCAGGTCAGTTTAATGGGCCACTTCCAATAAAGCCTGCACAATTATAATGTCAAATTTCAGAAAGTGTCCTGGGAACCTTTTTTGGATCCAAAACAGGGTCTCCAGGACATTTCTCACAATACAAGAAAGCACCCTTCTCTTATACTGAAACCACGCGGAAAATTGCCAAACGAGGTAGTTAGCAAACGTAATAAATCGTAATAATGAAGCCTGGGGCAGGGGTGGGAGATGGGAAAGGATATGTTAGAGATTGTAGAGGCAGCTAGTTTTTGAATATTGTTTAGATATGTTTAAGTGGTTGTAGGCAACGTTGTAAATACATATGAAATCAAGTCAAAGCAGATCAGTTTAATGGGCCACCTCCAAGAAAGCCTGTGTAAATTACAATGCGTAAATTATTGTGGAGCTTCGCAGACCGGCGATGCCGGTCGGGCGCGTGTTAGCTATCGTGTTCAGCTTCTGATTGTTTTTGTTGTTCTTTTTTGCGGCTGTCGGGCGCGTGTTAGCTATCGTGTTCAGCTTCTGATTGTCTTTGTTGTTCTTTTTTGCGGCTGTCCGTTGCCTTTTTATTTCTTGCTTGGTTAAGTTATTATGGTTGTTGTTCCTTTCGGATGCGTCGCGCGAATGCGTCGCGCGCGCCCCCCGAGACCTCATATCAAACACATTTGGGGCGCGCCAGGCAAAACCCCTCAGGCTGGTGGTGGAGAGGCCTTTTTTGAATGACTCAAAAAATAGAAAACACTGTAAATATCAATGTGCTTTGCTGCTCAAGGCTTCAAGAGTGCTCCAAGCCACGCTATTTGCGTAGCTTCTATGCTTTTACGACAGAAAACAATGTAAATTTAACTACCAATCGAGTGCTCAAAAACGCTATTACGAGGTTTTATCGAAAAACACTATATGTTCAGCATTTCGCGCACCACGCCCCTTAAAATGTCAATATTTACGCAGCTTTTGCAACGCCGCGGCACGTTTTTTTCTAAATCGAAATTTGTGAAAGTACTGTAATTTACAATGTTCTGCGCCTTGGCGCAAACCGAAAAAGGCTAAAAAACCATCCCTGTAAGGCCCAAATCCAGCTCCTTTCCAGTTCCCAATGTTTTTGTCCAATTTGCATGTGTTTTTGATGACTTTTTCGACATGCCAGAGTCTCCAAAAAAGGCCTCTCCCGCACCAGGCTCAAGGATTTTGCTACATTCCTGGTTTTGGCGTTTTTGGAATCGCTCCAGGGGCAAAAAAAGCTCGAAATGCAGGCGAGAGCGCAATATCCCGACATTGGGAGCACCCCCAAGTAGCTAAAGCTAGAAGCGATCAGCTACACCATACGGCATCACCAGATCTGGGTGGGATCTGAAAGGTCAAGACCCCCTGGAAAAATTTATTATGTGGGTGGGGACTGTGTCGAGGGGAGGGGTGGGAGATGGGAAAGGAGATGTCAGAGGCAGATAGTTTTCGAATATTGTTTAGATATGTCCAAGTTGTTGGTAAGAAAGGTTGTAAATACATATATGAAGTAAAGTGAACGCAGGTCAGTGTAATGGGCCACCTCCAATATAGCCTGTATGACTATACTTGGGAAAGTGCACAGAAATAGCATATTTTGCTCTGTGGAGGAGACACTAGGTATGACTAGGTGGTTGGGTGTGGAGGGGGGAGGGGAGGGAGATAGGAAAGGAGATGTTAGAGGCAGGTAGTTTTTGAATATTGTTTAGATATGTTTAAGTGGTTGGTAGTCAAGGTTGCAAATACACATGAGGTCAAGTGAAAGCAGGTCAGTTTAATGAGGGGACTTCCAAATAAATCCAAGGCCCGAGGCGGAAAAACTAGAAACAGAGATTTTGTTGACTGCCTGCTTTGGGTAGCGGGCGGCCTGAAGCTAAAAAAATAAACATCGCAGCTGGATTCTATAGAGCTTTGTTGAATGACGTTTGGCAGAATCATATCAATGGTTATGTTATTCCAACCCGGTGCAACCAGTATGGGGAATATTTCCAAAACCTATGGAAAAGGGTTATGGAACCATTTAACAATTATTCTTGGAGGTAACCCTCCACCCCCACCAAGGCGCCCCCCAGTACACCCGCCTCCAAGGCCCCCCCCCACTAGATTTAGATAGTTTTAACCTGCACCATTTTGGCTTTCGACGTATCAGCACCAGAAAACAATGTGAAACCTTGCACCACTTGGTTTGCGGAGAGTGTAGCCGAGAATCCCTATGATTGACCCCCCAAACATGGTGTTTTGAATATGTTTTGATGTGTGTGGGTGTGTGTTTCTTATGAAGGCAGACGTTTTAGGTCCAAAAACTCCAGGTTCCAGGTATCACATCGTCTCGCTTCGCCAGGAGCTGGTCACAGGCCTTTTCCTCCCAAGGCTTCGATTCGGAAGCGCACTGCTCGGTGGTGGCCATTCGGCGTAGTACTGCTCGGTGGGGCCATCCACGGTGGATTTGGACAGCGAGATATCTTGATGATTTATATATACTGAATGTGTGCGTCAGATCAGCCAAACCGTTGCAACCTCCATGGAGACCATACATATATAAGTCATGAAACGACATATGCAGTAATTAAATTAGTAATTAGCCAGCATTGGTCCCTTTTGCAGCGAAGGCTTGGCATGGCTGCTACATCAAACACCATCCTTCCGTGTTCCGCCTCGAAAGGTTTCACGATGCAAAAGGGCGCGCAGAACCCGCCTTCCAAGGAACCGGCCCCACGGCCTGACATCTTGCGTCAGCTCACGCGCCATAGTCTCACGGCTGCAGGTCTTAGGGCTCGCTTAAGTTGGACCCTGTTGGAGTGCTATTCACAAAGAGTAGTCGTCCAAAGTCGCTCCCTCCATTTTGCAAATAGGACATATTCACGGTAGTGGTGCCCAAGGTGGTACCCAAGCTAGAACAATTTCCCACAACTGCGCCGTGCCGTGTCCTCGCGTCGCAAAAGATCCTTTGGAAACCTAAAGGTTCTAGGGCACCTGAAGGGTGGGGTTCTTCCTGAAAAATTTGCGGTTTGGGAACTTCAGGGATTGAGTATGATTGAGTTTTGGTTCACCTTTCGGGATCTTTCGGGACTTCTCTCCCGAGTTAGGTCCTAGGTCCTAAAGTCCACCGAGTCGGCACCGAGTGTTTCAGTAGAAACAGCGGAATCGAAGTGCTCCAAACAAGAGGACTTGAAGACATTTAGCAGACCTTTTTGGTTCAAACCCATGTCCTTTTGGTGACTCGACACCGTGAGGACCGCAAGATGATGCGTTTCGGGCTCGGACGTCGAAGGGGGCGGTCGAGAGCCACGCTCGGTCGGACGAGGTTTGGAGTCGGAGATTACCAAGAGTCGGAGCGCCAAGTCCGGATCCTCGGAGACGTGACCGGCGAAGCGTTGGACCCCAGCTTCGAAGCGTCCGGACCCCAACCGAAGCGGGAAAAAGGGTCATTGTCTCAGTCAGATTTGGGACATGTTCTCCGAAGATACGGTGTCTGAAGTGGTGTTAGATTGGAGAGGGTAGCCCGGCCCCAGCCGGCCAGAGTTCTAGAGTGGCTGACTGACAAGTTCACCAAACTTGAGCCGCCGCCAGCGAATGCACAAAGAGCGAGCCAGCTCTCTCACTCAGAGAGAGAGAGGGAGAGAAAATGTAAAAAGAAAACACATTCACTTTTTTCGGTGCAGGTTTGCCTCAGAGCAGGACAACCAGATGCAGCCACTTGCCTGGCCAGAGGGGGTCGCTATGGGCGAGTCGTTTCCCAATTGTTGAGATGCCTTCGTTGGGCAAGGTGTCAAAGATTAATGGGGGCAGGGGTGCCTTTGTGGCCTCGACCCTGGGATATATAAATTGCTTCCTCATTTGGCCACCCATTGCCGGGGCGAGCTTGACATGATTACCATGAGCCATTTGACTGCAAAGATATGGATACCGCATCCGACATGCTTCTCCTTCCCCTCTTGGTCTATTGTAAACCACGGAGGTGATTCACCCGAATCCCGCCTTTGCTCCTGACAAACTGCTCCGGTGGGTTTTCGTGAGACACCCAACCATGGCGAGCGCGGCGAGGTTCATGATCATGCGAGCTGAGAAGACGCGCCAGCTTCAGAAGCGGAAGCTCACCATGGTGGCTGAGCGGGATGGTGTGGGGCAATGATTGAGTCACGCTGCGGGTCCAATGCCGTGTAGTGTTCCTATGTGTTCCTTGGGAATCGGTTAGCCCATCACATTGGGAAATTGCATGAATTTGCTCCAATTATTAGAGCGAGTGAGATGTGTTCGTAGGAGATCATAGCAATTAGCTCACTCTAAACTGTCAGCGTACTTTGGCGGATTCGACTGGGCTTCGATGGGCTTCCCCTGAGGTCATTGATCCAGATTCGACTCGTGCCATCACCTGGCAACTGATCACCTCTTGCTGCATGGCATTCATCTCCATCGTCACACCGGTTCAGGCATGGTGTGGACTTGCGCGTTTTTCAGGCCTTAATCCAGGTCACAGTGTCAAGAAGCCAACAGAAAGCTCGGTGAATAAAGTATATAAAGGAGTGTCAGATAGTCTCATCACCATTTCAATAGACCTTTTTGAGGATAGCGAGATATTTTCTGGAGGCGTGTGCGGTTCGTTCCGGTTGTTCAACAGTGTTGCTTTCTTTCATTTTGCTTGTCGGTGCGGTAAAGCTCCTGGCTCAATAACTCAATGAGAGCGTATAGAACAAATAATGAACTTGCCCCATCCTGCTGGGGACTGACTCCTTTCGCCGAAGAACACCTTTCGGTCAGAGATCAATCGGAAGCCGCCAATGGTCGCAGCTTGTCGGGCTTGGCTCATTTGTCTCCGCAATGAGTGACAAAGAGGAACACACAGAAACCCTTATTTAATTAATTAGTGCTATAGAAGCAGGAAGGCAAAGAGCGGCGCATTCTTCCAAAAAACTCCCAACCAAAGTTTGATTCAGGATTCACGGGTCTCTTTTTGGGTGCCGTCATGTTTATCGGATTTGCCTGACTTGCACAGGTTGGGCTTCTCGAGCTACGCTTAGATTTTTTGCAGATTCTCAGTTGGGGCGACGCGGACATCTAAAACTGAGTTCTGCGTGTCGATTCGTTTTGCGAGAAGCAAAGCCTTGGACCGGACATCGCTTTTTTGTGTTTGGAGAAGGGAATGGTGGCGAAGTCGATTGCCAGACCTCCAAGTCTGATTTAATTAGCTCTTAAAGTCCGTTGTCAGAGAGACATCCACGATATCGCCCAATGTCACGACATCAAGATCTCCAGTGTGAGGAGGGAAATCCGTCGAATCGAAACCAAATGTGAACGTCCAGAACGATGCAGGGCCTGTGCCCCACATCGTTGAATCCGGACCGGGGGATCTCACATTGTTGAGAGCATGAAACAGGACCTTGCTTTGACCCCTCGTAGCTAGCTAGCCAAGTGGTTGCCCATGAATGAGGGGTTTTCGAGAAGTCTTTGGCCAGTCAGTGGATACCTGGATAATCGTTCCTTTAACTTTGGGGTAGTGGTTTCCACAGTGGACAAGACCAGGTGGAAAAAGGTTTAACTTTGTAAACTATCTTCCAGGGAAACGGCTCGGGAGTCAGATATGAAGCATTCGGAGTCAGCCGCACACTGATTGGGAGGATGAATTTTGCGGGCGTTTCAAAACGGGATCACCACCTGACTGGACAGGGTTTGGAACTAACGTTTTGGATTATGTTGAACATAATTCTTTTGTTTCTGAGCCTTCGCCATGTCGGTTTGCCCATCTCTTCAGTTGTTGGCCCCCTCTGAAATTTGAACTGACACACCACTGGCTGATCCGAAGAAAGCGACGGAGGCATGTGGAGGCCATCAGTCGAAAACCAGGATTTGACTCAGTCAGAGGGGCCCCACCGATGCCATTCAACGTCCATTCACCTGGCCGGAGGTTACAATCTCAGTGGGATCTCAGTATGGGATCCATTGCAGGACTACCCTGCCTCAGTTGTTGGCCAGACCGCCCAGCACGGACGAACTGAGGCGTCGATTCCCTTTTCTTCGTTGACATGGTGCTGCAATTCTTCACCATGTATCCCAAGACCACGCCTCGAGGTATCGAGTGGGAGACCGATTTACGCAAGATTGGTGCCCCGGTTGCGAGTGGAGAGACAGGAGAGCTGGGGGTGAACGAGGAGTGGAGGCGAGCATCTACCGTACCTTTCTCTCAAAATATCATGGAGCAATCATGGATGTTGAAATCGGCTTTTGGGGGTATACTGGTATACCAATACCCTGCACCCAAACAAAGTTTACATAATGGATAGCATGGCAATAGAAGATGTCCAAACACCAACGATGTGGATAACCGCGTTGCTGTTCATAGCGTCAAAACAAACCTTGCAGTACGGAGTCCAGCTTCTACCATGTGCGCGTCACTGCCACCAGCATGAGACATGGATGATGATGATGATGATGATGATGATGATGATGATGATGATGATGATGATGATGATGATGATGATGATGCCATTTCTCCGCCTGTGCTCAACGAAGTTTCAGTTTTTCAGATGAGGGCTATGCCAAGAGAGGTTGAGAGACCATATACGACGCTGTAGTGGTACATATAGGATGGGCTATAGGGCTGTTCAACCTCTCTAGGTGTGACCGAAAGCCAGCGTTCGGCAAGCTTTGTTTGAGGTGTGCTTTCCCAAATGGCTGTGGGTCAAAAGCAGCAGGCCTTGGTTGACCTGCCAACGATGTTCAAGCTACATGTGTTGGCTCCAGGTTTTGACCCATGCCCAAATCATTTGAGGAAGCAACGTGCACTAGGACACGTTGCTTCCTTCTTCAGCGGAGCGGTGCCAGCAGCGCTGAGACGTCGTTAACCCAACCTCCACCTCGCACACTCCTCTTTGTATTTGTATAATGTACTTATATAACCTGCCCTGCGAACTCCTGGCTCAAATGCCAAAGACCATTTTTGGCAACGCCTTGTGTAACTTGGAAATTTGAGCCAAGAGTCTTAGGGGGCTTATTAGTTTACTTTTGGGATCCGTGCTACAACCCGCTGAGGTATACACTACATGAGGACCTGGTTCTTTTTGGATTTTGTCACCTTGATCCCTTTCGACATTCTGAGCCTCACCTGGAACGCAGCGAACTTGAAGGCGCGGAAGTGGCTTTTTGTGTGTATGATTTGGGGGGTCTCATGCGACATGGAGCGCTGGTTGTAGCAGTTTTTGGGTTGATAACTCATTAAAAAAAAGTTTTTTTCCAAGTCAATGCTCCCAGTGCATGCACCCACCATGCCTGTGCTTCTGTTTCTGGCCAGGAGTTGAAGAGCATCAAAGTGATCCGAGCTGTAAGGCTCCTGAAGCTGACGCTTGGCTCCTGTTTCACCTCGGTCTTCGCCACCGGAGCGACCGCAGTCTTCAGGCCTTTCCAGCCGGACCGCCGGAGCGAGTGTCGCCCGTTGGGGGGGAGTGGGGACACCGTGCAGAGCCTCATTTGACACACTCAACGTGCCAGCATCTCATTGGCCGAGCCGACCCAGGATGAGAATTTTAAAGTCTTCACGATGGCTGCTGGGCTGCAAGATATATAATTTTCCAAATTTGCTGAGAGCCATGTGATGGCCATGCACCCTTCAGTTTGCACCCACCTGAAGCCCTGCGCCCATGTCTGAGGTTGCATAGACTGGAGATTGCCCTATCAATCCCGTACCTTGGCTGTCGTGCACACACGGCGATTTGGATTTCAGGACATCATGTATTCGGGCCCTCCGAATAGCATGAATGTAGTCAGGAATGTCTAATCTCAGTAGCCATCCCAGTAGCGATTTTGCAAAATCGCATGGGACAGGTATCAGCATCTCGCGCTCTTGAGATTCCTTGGTGGCTTAATGCTTGTTTGCCACTCGGCTCTTCAGAGTTGACTGATGTGACAAACTTGAGTCCTCCGTCTCAGCGCGGGGTGTGGAAGGGGATGATCCTAGAGTCTTAGAGGTACACATTAACTAATTTAAGTTAAAATACATAGATGTGACCAGGAATCCATCCCGCCTACCGATCACTTATATAAAGGGGATGGATTCCCCCATTCCCTGCTGGTGCGCAAAGATCGATTGTGGGAAGAGGGGAAGTCAGCTCACCCGCTGAGGAGGTCTTTGCATGTTCATTTGACATGCAACTAGTCCTTGTGCGGACAACCCCTGTTGAGCACCAACGATTATCTAAGTATTTGGGGCGGGGAGCTTGTGGTGACCTCTAGGACAACGTCCCTTTCATTGCGCACCACTGTGTTGATGTGCGGATGATCCAAGCAACTCTCAAAAATGGGCGCCTGGATCCTGGATCACCACATAACGCCGAACGCCCTTCCAAAGTAGTTCTGTCTTGTCAGAGTCCTTTGTAGGTTTCTTGACTGACTGACGTTCCATGGCATGGAAGAAAGGAAGTTGCACTTCCTTTTTGGTGAGTGGAAGTGTACCTATACGGCTCTTGTGTGTTTCTGTTTTAATTATTTTAAATGTATCTATTCAATCATTGTGTATATTTGCGTTGCTGTGATCAACCAACATGTGAACATTTGATGCTAGCGAGTTATGTATACCGGTGATATTGTATACATTTACCTGGGTACCTGAACACTGTTTTCATTGTTTTTTATCCAACTGCGACCTAGAATTAGTTGCAATAAGATTCTCGCCGCTCCAGGAGGGGTCTGACACATGCTGCTCATGGGGGCATTCCATGACACGTGCCTCATATACTTATTAGCACTGTAGAATGGTGGGTTTGTGCTCCAGAAATTGAGGGTGGGTCGTTTATTCCATGGTTGATGAGAGCCCTTCGACCTCGCAGTCGACACGCAGCACACGTCGTGGTATGGGGCACGTAGCTTGCTGAACTCGTTCAACAAGAAGAGCAAGCCAAGAGTTATGTGTGAGAGAACCGAAGATCTATTCCACATCCAACATTCACATCAACACGGGGCTGTCCCCGCAGATTTGGCCGCGCAGGGTGGACAAACATGTGTTTTGCCCAAGTCATGCAGGTCATTGGCTCTCATGCTTTTGGGCCATGTGCCTGCATCTGGTGGACGATGTACAACTCGTCGATGGCGTAGTCATTTGGCACCATCGACAGTGCGGAGGGCAGGTCGAAAGAAGAGGGTCAAGGCTTTGTTGCGTGTTCAACTTTTCCTCCATGGCTGGCCCTTGATTCAAGGCTACAACTTTGTGTCACTCACGAGGTGAAAAGCACGTGGTGGTTGAAAGGCTATGCATGGTTGAACCATGTTAAATGCACGTTTAACCCCCCGTTTGAACTCCTTCCACCGTCGGGCTAAATTAGCTACTCAGCTTCGAACACTTTCGGCACAGCGAAGGGCGCCCAGAAATGGATTCAGGCTGGTCACCACGTGCCCTCATGACTGAAACTGAACCAAACAGTACCAAACAGACCAGTCAAGGCTGTCATTGATTCACTGACCCCTCTTCAGGTCCCGTCTAAAACACTCCTTTCCTCAGAGCGAATGACCGGAACGACAAGTTGCCCCCCCGCCCCGCGGGCCTTCTAAGAAGGTTCTATATAAGGCCTATAGATGCATGACGGTGCACCAAAGGGCCACACACTTCGTGGCGAAGGCCACGGCACCAACCACGTTGGTCTGTCACCGCGGCACCATGGTTTTCTCCCTCGCATCTCCCAGGAGAAGCCTGTCCCGAAGTGGATCGATGATATCGCGGCCTCGGACCTCGAGTTCAAGATCGTGACGCGGGACCATCCCTTGAGGATTTACATGGCACCTGGGCTTTGAGGCAAAATAATCCAAAATAGAATGAACGCGCTTCGTATCGTTTGGTTCGGTGCCATGTCGGTGGGGACGGTTGCGTTGCAGTCAGACTCTGAAGAGAGGGAGGGGAGGGAGAGAGAGAGAGAGATGGGCAAAGTTGTAGAGCGCAAGGTTCCCCACGGTTGATGTTCCTATACAGGTGGGGGCGAAGCGTTAATTACCAGAGGCTTGCAAAGGCATGGCAGTCAAGGGCCTTTGTGTTTACTGCATGATTGTTGACAGAGTACGTCCTGGCTTCGCTTGTCGCAGCGGCTTTTGAGGCATCGTTTTACTTTTGCAGTGCCTGGGCTTGCATCGCGAGAGTGGCCCTGTGCATTTTTTTGCAGATGTTCTTTGTGATGTCACCTGTTCAAGATGCAACGCTTCAGGTTGAAACATATTGAACACAAGTTAGTCAAACTTAGTCTTTTTGTTTTGCATGAAGGGTGTCATCCCCGAAGCTGGCTGAATAAAGCAAACCTTCTGCGCAGAAGTCGGGCCAGTCACCTCGATTGGCTGCGATGTTTCAATCCTCTTCCGATCGTTTTGGTTCAACCGGTGGCTTTCAATTCACCAAGGGATCTCCGTTGGACACCCCTTTGAAGGTCCAGGTGCAGAAACCTCTAATGCATTCTAATGCGACTTGAGTCACAACCATCAATCAGCCACAAGGCTTAAAGCTTATATGTCATTGCGGCGGCTACGTTATCTTCTTACTCCGAAGCGTCACTTTCAGAAGACCGATCCACCGCATTCGACCCAACTGAAACCTCCGTGATCATGTTTTTCTTCGATTGAGGCTATACCATGACCTCGGTGGGCTACGGGGATTTAGGGCCCAAGAACATCTTGGAGCGCGTGGTGTGCACCGCGATCGTCTTGGTTGCGGGCCTTTGCTGGGCGCAGATCTTGGGAGATGTCTGTGCGATTTCCTCGGTGCCTTGGCGCGAAGCCCTGATCTTGGGACACCGGAGCGACACGGGAGTCGCATGGATTAGCGACATGGTCAGGGAAAGAGATGAACTTGCCATCAGCTGCAGCTTAAAGTCCTCCTATGTCCTGCTAGTCGATGGTTTGTTACCGCCCCAGACCAGGCAATCCGAGTTCGAGCAGAGTTTCGGTTCCACACTGTATGAAGGGACCACGCACTTCACAAGACAGGTCCGAACCTATTCCAGACCTGTTTCAGGATCAGAGCTGATGAGAGTTGCTGATCCCAGTCGGTGTCCCATCCCTGGGTCCGGCTCCAGTTTACTGTGAAAGGATATGTGCTTCCCAAGCGCCCATCGCCATCGCTCGGGAGAGTGATTATATACCGCCATTCATGCGCCGTTCAGGATATGAACGCAGAGAACCAGGAGTTCCGAAAGAAGATGAACAGCCTCAACCGTATGATGCAGGACGACCGGTGGACGATCTCCCGAGCCCTAAGTCGACATCTTGACACCCTAAGGATGAGGCTACACAGCTACAGCCGTAGTCGCACATGGGTGAGCGTAGAAAATCGTTACATTGCATGCGATTCATATTAGCAATATGCATTTAATTGTTGAAACTGGTTGGTGTGCATGGTGTTTTCTGACCAGGTCCTGCACCACCTGGTGGTCACCTACTCGTAGGAACGCATGCCTGGTTCCAGGACTTTTAATCTTGTTCTTTTGGGCTGGGCTTGCAGGGGATGAACTCGTGGTCGTTTGAGCAGTCCCAATGCATTTGAGCACAGTTTGTGCACAGATCAAAAAGTAACATGTTGGTCCTTAATTCATGTTACTTCACTTCGGTTGGTGAATCCTTCGATGGAATGAGATTGTGTATATTGTCGCATTCTCTTGATGATTTGGTTCCTAGGAGCAGGGGCTGCCCCACGATTTGAGGCGGCGGCTGAGGAGCTTTTTCTTGCAACCTGCCCTGGGGGTATCCCAAGGGGCTCGGACAGTCAACTTGACTGGCCTGATGTATATACTACACCCCTCACCGCCGGAACCAGCGGAAGCGTCGGAACCGTCGGAACAGTGCAGTCCCCAAGTGTGACTTCCAAGCACCGTTGGATGTTCGTTGATCGTAAGGCCTTTGGAGCCTTAGGGCATTTAACGCTGTTTCTCATTTGTTTGGTGGACTGTTGGCCTTATATACTGGAGGGCTTGTATATGGGTTTGTTTGAGCAGTATTACGAGCAAGATCTCTGATGTTCCACCACCACGATTGGGCCTCAGCTAGATGAAAGCAACTAGGCGAGGCGATTTCTTTTGGGGCTATGGAGCAGTGGTGCTCGCACCGGGTAAGCATATGGTCAGGGACGCATACCGATAAGAGTGAAGTGGACGTGTTCATGCTGTATGTTCACATTTCTTTGGATTGTCATTGTGTTATATATATATATATACATATTTTGCCCGTGTTCCCACGTGGCCTTTGGACCATTGGAATGTACTCAGCCAAGGCAGAATCGGCATCAGTCACAATATGCCTCCTGGCTGCCCTCTTTCGATCGATGCCCTTTTTCGACGACTTTCGGTGGAGTCTGGGAGCTTTTCGGCCTTTTTCGGCATCCGGTGGAGTCCAGTGACCAGCGTCCCTTGTTACTAGCGATGCCAGGCGCGCCCCCGAAGGTAGCGTCCTTTCGCTCAATTTCGTAGCGAGGCCCTTTGTTACGTTCGTGGCTTCTTTGTTACTATGGCGAACGAAGTTGGGATTCCAGATTTGGGTGTGCAAGTTGCCCCAGGTGGTCCGACAGAAGCTTCTCACGAACATGAGCCCGCAGCTGCAATCGGAAGTTTGCACGGAGATGCACCTTGGCGGCACCATGGTTCCTATGGCATTGCGGGGTTTGCTATTATGGCGGCTTGACCCTGATTCCTTTAGCCGAGGCTCTATATTGTTCCTTATTCATATTATATGGTTCATCCTTGTATCCTTGTGCTATGTGTGTATATAATTACACAATATATATATATATATAACTATAACATAATATATTTATAACATTATCCACATTTGGAGGTTTGTTGGATTTCAAGTACTTTGAGTAGCACACTGGCGACTGATGACCGATGCAGCTGCACGGCCCTGGGTGAGGAAGCAAGCGGATGGTTTCCTCGGTCTCGGCGATCCGAGGAACCTGCCCTGGATTCAGAAGGTCTCTTTCTTCTCGCAGTTTATCAATCACATGGATCGACTGGAATCCAAAGGCGGCTGTTATCGGCTCTGGGGGTACTGTAGCTTTCCAAAAAGTGGGTTTTCAGGTGGGACATGTGACCAACTTGGTTTGTGGACCCAAGAGGGAAAGTTCGAAGGTTGAGGGCGGTGTGTTTATTCAATGAAGTTTCATTGATGGAGGCTTCCCATGCTGATGGGATATGAAGATGTTGAATTAATCACCATGTCAAAGATCGTCGGTGACTTAGTCAAGTCAAGACAACATTTAGAACACACGCTGACAAAGACTATGTTTCGAGTATGCTGACTTTGACGCATGATTTGTTTGCTCCACGAAAGCCGAATCTGCAGCTGGAGAGAGTTTGCCTCAGTTCAATCATACAAACAGTGTTTCATCATTTTTCACCAGCAGCATTTGGTGAAGCATGGCTTGCTGTCCAATGGGTGATTGGCACCCATGCAAACGGCAATGGGTAGAAAATGGGTATGACACGTGGGAACATGTGCGCAAATTTGTACCGCAAAATCGCTTCATTGTGCTTCAATCAGGGGGCACAAAATCTCATCAAGACGAATGCTGGAGATAGAAACAGTTCCAACTGCGTTCATGGCAGCCTGAAAGCAATCCAATCAATACCAACCAGCTGAAAGGAATTCGCTGCGAGATGCGCCAGGCGTCGATACGGAAGCCTTCCGTGCGTGCATCGCGGACACCTCCCGGCAACTGGTGTGTGGCGCCTTTGCTCAGCGGGAGAGCTTCGGCAACGTCCAGCCTCTTGGGACACGAGTTGGCTCGCTCCGGCTGGACGGTGGGGGAACCGTGTTCAGTGTTCCGAGCCATCCCAGACCAGAGAGTAGTGGATTGCTTGTAGTGTTCTGAATGCACAGACCTAGGCGTGTTCGCCGTGGCGGTGACGGCTCATGTTTTTATGTAATTGCACTTGCACGCCCTAAATCCAGCGGTTGTCGTCCCCATTCCACGCGATTGGATCCTGAATCTCCCAATCTACCAGCTGCCTTGTCCCTAATTTATTCATGATATCATAGAACTACAAGATTTCAACACGGTCCTATAGAGAAGGAGTTTCATGAAGCTTTGCCCGAACAGCCAATACATGTAAGATTAAAGTTCAGTTAATTTCGGGTAATTTACCGTCTCGGAGGTGTGTTCGGGCATATCAATTTGTATTGGACCATGTGGCAGGGATAATCTTGTGGCCGCAACGGGGGGATTTCGCATGGACCTTGCCGTTGCCAAGGATCCTCTATATCCTCTCCAAAGGCTCCTAAATCGCAATCAGGGTCCTTAATGAGCTCTTGCGCTAGAGATAGGGTGTCAACAAAATATAGGCATCAAACAAATGGACAAGGCATTAAATGGCATTAAACACTAAAAACGTGATATATACTGATTTGATTCGTATCATGTCGTTTCAGATGTCTGTTGGTTGCTTCCGTGGCCCCTCCGCTGGGTGCCCGCGCCCCGGGTGACAGCGAGTTGGAGCGAAGAACGCGCCTGTGACCAGAGGGTCGAGTATAGACCTGGATGACACCGTTCTTGTGGACAAACTGCCGTTCTGAAGCGAGTTGGAGTAGGAAGGAACATGAAGGAACCAATCCTCCCTACCTGGCTGGGCCATCCAACCTGGCCATCCTACCACTGTGCGCCTTCAGCAGCGTTTTTCTGTGAGCGCTGGCCATACTGGCCCTGGTATGCATACACGGTGCGCGTGAGGCCTTCCCAGTGATTTGGAGATGGTCATGATGCAGACACCTAGATTAGCCTCACGTCATCATCATCAGCAGCATCATCCTCATCCTCATCCCCATCCTCCTCCTCCTCATCATCATCATCATCCTCATCCTCATCATCATTGTCATCTCATCGTCATCGTTATTGTCACCGTCGTCGTCGTCGTCGTCGTCATCATCATCATCATCATCATCGTCATTATCGTCATCGTCATCATCCTCATCCTCATCCTCATCCTCATCATCATGGTCATCGTCATCGTCTTCGTCATCGTCATCGTCATCGTCATGTTCATCATAATCGTCATCGCCATCATCATTATTATCATCATCATCATCATCGTCATCGTCATCGTCATCATCATAATCATAATAAGCATATATAACAATAATAATAATCATCATCAGCAGCAGCATCATCATCATCATCATCATGTTCATTCTCACAGTCAGTCATTACAGTATCAACATCACGCGCACACATACACACGTTCACACACACATTATCGCATGTCACACCATCACCACATCATCACAGTAGTCATCGTGTGTATATTTCCAAGATTTATTGAAGCCTTTTCTATCCTTTTCTTATCCTTTTCCTGCTGCGGTCCGTTTGGGCCACACTGTTTTCACCCTCTTGAAACAAACTCTTTGCGGGCTACTTGTGTGCACATCGAGTGGAGGCGCCGTGCCCTCCGGCAATCTGCACATGCTATCCCTCGGCCCCACCCCAGGGCAAAAATTTACAAGAAACCTTGGGCCAAGTGCGGGTTTGATTTCGAGCAGGATGGAAGCCATTCGAACCTTGCGCACTTTATGTGCATCAAGCAAGGGCCTGTCAGGCATGACCCGCTTATGGGCCCACCCTAGCGTGAAATGTCAAACAAGCCTCACACCCCCTTTGTTGAGTGCTTCAGAGTGCTGTAAATACATGCATTTCAGGAATACTTGCTGATCCTTACCCATTGTTTTCTTGATCTAAAGAAGAATTCCTTTGCTTGATGCTCGATCCTTAGCATGTTTTAGTTCTTGTTGTCTTCGTGTGATCTCTAACCCCTCTTGCTTGCGTCAAGACCTGCTGCGGCGCCCTAGCTCATCTTATTTGTAGGGGTGGGGTAGTGGCCAGACTGTTTGCCTAGTGTTGCACCCGGACGTTGCTGGATCCAACGCATGAAGGATGCGTCATAGCGTTGATACATATATTGTATACAGTAAATTATATCACATGAGGACGATCGGGGTGCAAAAGGTAAGATATGCAGCATATTTTACCTTTTGCACTCCGATCGTCATCATGTGATATGCTTGCTATTGATATTGGATGTAGGATGCTGTTGTTGCATTCATACACATGTAGCATATATCCACAATACTCCCGTGTTGACCGTTCGATATCCGGGGTCAGGCTTTCTGGTCGCCAAGATGCAAGGCTCCTCCAAGACCGAACACTTCCTAGAAGAAGCAATTCTGGGGCGTCCTCCATCTCTATCACTGGATCACTATGACTATACAAGGATCCCCTGGACCGATTCTCGTGAAAACTGAGGCTTGGTGATCCTGAATAGCAAGGTGGGCACCAACGGCACCGTTTGGGGTGAAGACTTCGTGCTGGCCGACACCTCGTTGATCCGTCCCGTCTCAGGCCGCACCCTGGGGCGGGTCCGTTGGGGCGGTGCACCCGCTTGGTGGCCCACGTATGTCCACATAAACACGTGCACCTGTAGAAGAGATGGACGAATTGTTTCAAATATATAATTAAATGGAGAGTAGGGTCCATTGAATGTGTTGGATTGCATGATATTGCATGCATCCCCTGGCATCCCTTCAATGGTTGTGGAACCAATTGGTTGAGAATCAACCACATACCGTTTACGTTCGTTTTCGGTTTAATAATACCAATGGTAGCCTAACTTGGCCTGGCCTAACTTGTTTCCTGTTTCGTCCTTTCTTCGAACTTCAAAGCATTGAACATTGCTTCTTTGTCACCGGCAAAGTCACCCAGGGCGGCCTCCCAAATATATTACCTAGAACCCATGTGACCTTGACTTTGATAGGAAATACCGATACCATGCTTTGACTCATAAAAACTACTGTTGCTATCAACACCTCGTTACCGGAGAGGTCCGTGAATGACAGGTTTATTGTCAGGCCGTGTAGCCAATTAAACGGGTGACCTATATTTATGACTGTGTGGTAGCCAGGCTTTGCGCTGACCTACATCGAAGTCATGGCACTCACTCGTGAGAGCTTTATGAAAGTCATCGAAAGAAGGCGTGTGAATTGCCCCGAGCTGGGACAGACGCTTGGTGGCACAGCTGCAGCTGCAGGTGAAACAAAGGCTGCCTCAGATGTTCGGAGGCAAACACCTTGCAGAAAAGGGCCGAAGAATGCTTGCAACAAAATCGATCGAGACCCAAAGACTTCTTTGCACACGTGAAACGAGCGATACCGGTAGGCGATGTTTGGTCGACAGAGCTTCCTGGTAAGCTTGGACCAAGTCTGGAGCAGATCACAGGGAAACTGGGAGAGGGTCCATGCGAAGCACTTAGTTGGTATCACAAAATAGGTATAGTAACAGTAGGTTCAGAATAGATTGCACCAGTTACCCCAAGTTTGGTGGTCAAAATGGATGGATCCCGATTTGTCTCTCCTCGATATCTAGCCGGTGGTTTGTGATGTTGTGCCATCGAAACTCTGGAATACCGCTGGGTATTGCCGCTTGCGGAGCTCCGAACCCCCGTGGTTTCGGAGCTCCGGTCGAGTCGTGGTCTATTCCAGAGCCGCAGCATGTATATTCATAGTATGCCAAAACTGACCCCAAAAGACGGGACGGTCTCCGGAGATACGTACATCGTTTGACCCGCGGCCATTGTAAAACCCAAACCTTTTTTTTGCCCAGCACACAGCAGAGTGTGGCCATTTGCTGCAACTCAAACTTAAAAGGTCCAAACTGCACACTGTCAGACACGAAGCTGATTTCGAGACATATTGTTTCTCTCCAGTTTTCCTGACATCCTCCTTGGCTAACGATAGCCACGGTTTGGACTGGATCAATGGCTGTTGATAGCTGCTAGCTGATATGTTGTTCCCTTTTGTATCCTTTTGTAATTACTTGGTTTCATAGTGACACTGCTTAAAGTGATAAGGGTCCGGTTTCACCAGTATCATGTATTTGTGTCAGATTCACGCCCTGATGAGGATTGTGAGGCGCTATTGCGTGAGGATTGCAGTTCGACGTGGTGCCTTGACTGCAGATCTATTCGCGATTGGCGGCCAAGGCAATGCACCTGATAGGACCCATCAGTCCTGCTTGGACATGTCAAACAATGCCCCTCCAGGTTCATGGAAAGCTTTTGTGTACAATGTTGACTTCCTTGAAACACTTTAGTTGACAAAGTGATTGTCCCGCAAAACCTTGCTCAAGCGATTAAGGAAGGGTGTTGGGGTGATTTTGGGACTTTCACCGGGCAAAGCAATAGCCCCGTCAGAGAGAGCATGTGGAAGGGACTGGGACAGATGGCAAACCATACGTTGATAAACATCCGAAAACTCACCCAGATGCAACCCCATTCTGAATTATTTCGCAGAAATGTAGAAGTGGATAGCTATATATAGTGGAGCGCTTCTTTATTTTAACCGTTTCACCCCATCCACATCCATCCACGGACACGGCATGTCGCCAGCTCCCGACCACCAGGTAGGTCCAACCAGGTGGAGCTTGGCTAGGGGCACAACCATCGAGAGCGGCTATTTGGATCTATTTGGGTTCCAAATGATTTATTCCCGTAGATCGGAAAAAAGATCCGATGAGATGTTGTTTCTTAGTGAATTCTCCATCGGATTGGGTGGGCGATTCGGATCGGCCCAGGCTGGCAGGTTTTGGGCCAATTGGAGGTCCAGTGTCTTTTGTAGTCCAGGATGCTACAGCTATACCTCGATCTCAAAATCGTGGGCCCTAGCATCTGCAGAAACCCTTCGGCATATATTGACGGGCTACACATATGTCAGGTTTCAATCCTACAAGGGTTCCAGTCCTGCGGAGGTGTCATAGCAGAGGCACGGCGACTTGCACGTGAGAGTCTGGAAGAGGAGAGACGTGACTCGCACGTGGCACATTTGGCAGACGTTTTCTGAGGTTTATGACAGTTTGTGCTCAGATATATTAGCCGAAGATGTTATTTGGTGTCGCTATTTAAGCTCAGATAGTATGAATGTTGCGAGAAATGGTGACACCAAAAGATGGTGCAATCCCCATGGCGAAACCGGGGCCAACAAGCAGGAATTGCTTTGATCTAGCACGGTGTGTACGTAAGCATTGCAGTCTACACATGGTGAACCATCATTTGCAGTTGGGCGGTGCCTTGTCGAAAGAACATGGAATTATAATTTCATGGTAGATTCTGTGGGTATATAAACGCACGTCGCGACCTCTAAGAAGGGCGAAGTTTGTGCGGTCCTGACGCAAGCTTTCAAGCAAGTCTCAGTTCTAGGGCCTAGGGAGCATCCTTAGGAAATTGATCCAAGGCCCCCGTGAGCTTTGGGATCAATTTTTTGGATTCATTTCCAAAATTTGTTCAAACATCCTGATTCTGTTGGATAACAAAAATATTGTGCAAAACCTCTATGAGTTGTTGGATTCATTAGCTCGCCAGTGGGTGGACTAGCTGTAAAAAGAGGGGAAGCAGAATGTGGATAAATAAACTTGAAGGATAGAAAGAACTCGACTACCATCGACTACCTGTGGGTTAATTACTGTGTGATTTTTGTGTTAGTGCTGATTGAATCTCAACCTGTTACACATTGTTTTGTGCTGTCTCAACGGAAAGAAACGAGTGATTAAAGGAATTATATAAATAGGAATAAGTATGATGAACATATACATTAATGAATAGATAGTTCTTAGCACTATCTAGGGGACACATGTTGACAAGGCTGTTCAGTCTGGAGGGGTCGGCTGTACAGCGAGCCGGAATGCTTGAATGAGGATGAGGATGGCCGGGGAGAGAGAGAGAGAGAGGAAAAAAAGACACACAAGTGTGAAGAAGGTGTGATATGAGCAGTGAACCACCCTATCTAATTATTTCCCAAACCTGCAGATCAATTAGGTGCAGGCCCTCCCTGATTCAATAACTCAATTGCTGACTGTTTTTTGCTTATGACCTTGTTAACACTCAAACCCCTCTGATTAATAAAGCTCGAATTTCCAAATCCAGACCTGGAGCAGCTCAGGATTAAATAGTTGAGGTACCCTGGATTCATAAAATCAAAAAATCCAGGGTAGGGGTTTTGCATTTGATATTTCTTTGAATTTGGTCTTTTCTTGGTTTGACCGGACCAGGAAACAATGTCACCTCTGGCAAAGGGGAGTTTCCATTTGAAGAGTGGAAGCGGTGTTGGGTGATTTGTGCTAATGTGACATGTGGATTTCTGGCGTGTGGCTTCAGACTTTTTGGTTGTGATTTGTGATGTGCAGTTTGGATGTATATATAATATGCGTTTCAAGGCTTTGTCGGTTTACCAACATTCCTCGGGTCTGTCCTATTACCTGTAACAGTGAGTAAACAATTATACAATTTTTGGACAAGGCCTGCAACCTAACCATCATCATCCACTGTTACAGGCAATAGGATACACCCAAAACATGTCCACTGTTTTATTTTGTTCTTTTTGGCACCGTACTTTCCCCGAAGCAACGGGCTCTTCCAAAATCAATCCCGTGCATGCAGCTTCTCAGACGCCGAGGCAAGCGTTTGCGAAGCCAGTTGCCTCACAAGGACTTGGAGCGCGTCCCACAACCGCCGCCCATCAACGAGTTGGAGGTCCGGGTAGCCCACCGGGCGCGGCCTAATTGGACTGACCCAATCATGCTGACTGGACAAGCAACAAGAGAGGAACAAGAACGGCGCTCTTTTTTGGACCAATCATTGATTTGAACGACTGTCCTACAATTTCACACCCTTTCAAACCATTCGAGCTTTGTTCAAAAACATTGCGTTCTGCATGTGGACATGCACACCTTCCCCAATACGAGGATTTGGTACCATTTTGTATCAATCATTGGTGCATCAAGGCCTTTCCGACCCATCCCTACCCGACCCACCGGGGGGGTTTTTCTACGGCTTGGTGACGAGGTCTACAGCCCTGCACATATGCCAGGCGCGTCCGGTCGACCTGGGACACGATTTCTTTGAGAGGGGTTTGGATGGTTTGGTTGTTCCTGATGTGCAGACATGGCAATAATATCATACCACAATGAGGGTTGCTAGGATGTGCACGATGTTCCCTTCAGCATCTCCAGCTTGTAGCGTTTCGGCATTGTTCAGCAGCATCGTTGTGAACGCTAAGAGGGAAAGGGATGCTTTTGTTGGCATTGTCGTCAACTGAACGGATGTGTATAGCTTTGATCCTGGTTTTGTGATCCCGGGGTCCCACACAGCAAGGGGTCAAGATGAAAAAAGTAAAAAACAACAACCTACTCAAAAACAACTCAGACCAGAAACTCAGATTTCAAAGCCACTCAAATGAAAGACTCAAATTGGACTCAGATTGGACTCAAATTGGACTCAGATTGGACTCAAATTGTACTTAACCATGTACTCAAACATGGTTTTTGAGTTGTTTTTGAGTTTTTTTTTGAGTTGTTTTTGAGTTTTTGTTGAGTTTTTTTTGAGTTTGTTTTTGAGTTTGTTTTGAGTTTTGTTGTTGAGTCTGCTTTGGATTTGAGTTCTTGAGTTGATTATTTTTTGATTATTTTTTGTTTTTCATTTTTTCAATGATTTCAGCCCTGTCTGGGCACCACGTGATCATAATCCTGGTTAGCGCTTTTGGTTGGCTGAGGTGACCATTATGCACTGCATTATCAGGTTGAGAAACACATGCTTGATCTTGGGAGCCGTCCCGCACACACGGGCGTTGCTCGTGGGATGCTTACGGTGACTAGCGCCACTGGCTACCCATCCAGCAAAGCTCGTGCCAGGTGCGATGTGGACAGAAGATGATGAACTTGAGAAAGTTGAATGAAATCAGATCCATAGACTTTTTTTGGCATCATTCCAAATCCCATGAAACCGCTGAAAGCGGTCTTCGAACGAATCTAGTCGATCGTTCTGCTGGGCCTTGACCTTGACCGTTTTAATTCTGTGTGCTTTGCCGCCCGTAACCTAGCAACCTAAATTAACGATAGACACAACGAATCTCAAAACCATGAGTCTATTTCAAGTTGTAGGTTCGTGCTCAGGTAGAGCGTAGTCCCATAGCTCAATATCATGAGTGTTCAGTGTTTATGGATACTACGTAGACTACTGTACATTGTCTGGTGCAGGCACAACTCCGGCTGAGCGTTGAATGCCGAGAGAGGCGATGAATACGTGTGTTGATGTTTGAAGAGATCAGTTATTGAATATATTGAATCAGACTCCATGATTCCCCCAGACACCCGTATTTGCCACCCGGACACTTTGGGCGGCTGACTTCATCGGAGAGTCGACCTAGTGAAGCCACTGCTGCACAACAAGACATGTCAAGACCTGGATTTCCAGATCTGTCACACTCGGAGGCACCTCATGGGAGCACTCGGAGATGTGGTTTGATACCCATGCAGCAGCATCATCATGCATCCCTTGCGTTGACATGTTTGCTGTTTGAGTGTTTGTAAGACACCGAATGGTTTGGACCAGAGTGATTCAGATCCGATTTTACTCTTGATTAATCACACTCCCAAATAAAGAGATTGTACAATCCAAATTTGGGTTCATCAATCAAGAGTCTACATCTATATACATGTACGAAATTCTATAAACGGAGACTTGCTCCCACATGTATATATATATATATATTTATAGTCCAACCAAATCTGTTTACGCGAGAGCCTTCAGTAGGGACACGCGTAGACGAGAGGTGTTCATGTTTTTGAAGCCGTGTGCACATCCAGATGTGCACACTGTACCCGGTGTCCAACGCTGTATTTGATGGTTATCACTGACTTGCACTTGGTCCATTCTTGGCCAGCTTGCTGCTTCCTTGGTCCTTTGCCACCATGCTCCGCGCGCACACCAACGCGCACACCAGCGCTACAGCGCTCCGCTCCAGACCGGAGCCTCCTCTCCGGCAGCCGATTCGACGACGTTTGGGGTGTCCGACTCGCCGGGGTTTGCATTGGTTGTACCTGCAGGCGTTTGGTGGGTAAGTAAGAAATGAACACCCTCAGAAGCTTTTCACCTTTCAACATGTGTTTGGGGCGGGACAGGCATCCCTCCAGGTTGAAGGACTCCTTTCGGCAACTGAAAGGGCGGCTTCAAACCAAGTTTTGAGGGACTGCTCGGAAAGCCCGCGAGAGGCTAGAGGCCCGAGTTAGTCCCCCAAAGCGCAGTTGCGCATCCGGGTGTTCATCACGCACAGCTCACTGGATGGCTCGCTGCAATGATCATTATACAGTTATATATATACTAGCTATTCGTTCATTTTGATAGCTCCTTTGTTGATCATTTCAATTCGATTGACCTTTCCTGGGCGATCGCAGCTTTGGAAGCCCCTGCATCTTGAATCACAGAACTAGGCGAGGCAGATCGGTGCGTGGTTTCAGCCCTTGACATGTCAAAGACTGTTTCGCACGCGGTCGTCGAGAAAAGAAAGACCAAATTGCGTTGCATGCGGATTCACAACAACCGCATGGGTACTGAGAGAAGTTTTTTTTCCTGGGATGGCAGGTGTTCAGGGCCAGCTTATCAGACGCTAATCGATCGACCTTCTTTAATTTGGATCATTTTGTAGCATCAAAAGGGGTGTGTTATAAACTAATCAAGTGTCGTGACCAGCAGCAGAAGTGCACACATGTCACAAATGTGTGAACGGACATTTAACGATGTTGGGGTATAATTACCATTATGCCACTATGCATCAATAAATTCAAACAGATGCATCAATGAACAAAAATGTTTGCCGCATTCGCGGGAATTCCCGAAACAACTTGTTCCTGTCCTTTTTCCTAAGAATGCCGCAGCTGAAGCGATTCCTGAAAAACGGGACCAGCGCCAGCGTGATTCAAAAACAAAGTACATAATTTAACTAATTGATATTATTTGTATGGAAGCATTCCCGTGATGTTCATGATGTCAGCGAAGCAGAGTAATCGTGGCTTCCTCTTTTGTGTTTTGTTCTTCTACTGTCTCAATCTCAGAGCAGGGGTCACGCGTGCTCATCCATTAGCAGGCGGATCGGTTGAGAACTCCAAGTAAATAGGCACAACCACCGAAGCCGAAAGGAATGGAGTTGGTGAAACGACGTCGACATGAAAAGATTGGGGTGAAGCCCATGTCAATTCGGTTTCCTCGTATTTTGGGCCCACATATTTGCCCCTTCCCATTCTCACCATTTGATCCATGCATCATGAAAACCGATTTCCCTTGCGGGGGCCCGCTCTTGAGCCACATCCCGCAAACTTGTGGATGAATGAGATGACTTGGAATCGCAGCACTTGTGGTTCGGGCCACTGATTACGTTTCACGTGTTTTCCAAGTGTCATGCTCGACAGCTCATTGAATGAATCTTGGCATTAGCAGGAACCCAAACTCAATCGTGGCGCGCGTGCCAAGAACTGAAACCTGACACTCCGGATGGAAAGATAGGGATACGGTGACAGTGACGTGTGTCACGGCAGTGTAGGCTTGATGAATAACCCCTTCAGACCCCTTCCATTTGGATTGGACCACCTCTTTACATGGGGGATTCGATGAATCAAGAGTCTACATGAAGGGACGGCTGTGTCACCTGGTGATGGAAGGTCACCAAACGCGCAGATCGGCCCCGCCGGATCGGCTAGCAAGTCCAGTCTCAGTCCATGATAGTCCAGTGTGAAGCCTCGGTTCAATACAGTCCCCCCTTTACATACCCTAGGGATCCAAGTGCCCTCTCAGAAGGTACTTGGACCCTCCAAACCTACATAGCAGTGTCTCCAATCACCTTCTGACAAGGTACTTGGATCCCTAGGGATAGGCTCCGTTGTTTAACCTTTCACCATCTTTCACCATTTGTTCACGATCGGAGCCAAGCGAAAGATTGGCCACCTGTGGTTGCTGTTCGGAACGGTCTTCGCTCGCGAGTGATCAAGGAACGGCTTCGGGTGATTCTGCAAGAGCTCACGGCAGAGTTAGAGCGCCAATCCGCCAACCTGCGGAGCTACTTGGAAGATGGGGGAGGGAGACTAGGAATTGATATGGGGTGTACTCCCATATTATATGTTAGTATATGCTTGTTATATCTAAATCTAATTAACTATATATCATTATCTCATTTTACTACAAATAATGGGTAGGGTTGCCATTGCAAAGGTAGTTGTTGTTTTTCCCCATAGTCCATAGTTAATATATGTGCTATAATAAATGTCCGAATGGGCCCATGATGGCCCATGCTCACATTGATTCCCATGCTGACAGAGTCTGGGACAGGAGCTCATCAAATTGCCGTGGGTGACAATTAGTAACGGATTGCCGTGGGTAAAGAACCACATTGTAGTTTTCAATGCTTGAAGGATCTTGAAGGCATGCTGCGAAGTTGCAACCGCATGACCCCGCTTGCTGGAGCAGGGACAGTGGATAGACTAAAAACATCAAAAGAACATTGGCATCCGCACACCCCCTGTGCGGACCGCCTCGTTTGCCAAGGTTTAGAAGAAGAGCATCGGCCTCCAGATCCTCAACGTCATGAAGAGCCACCGCAAACATCTCCAACTTTAGAGCTTCCAATAGAGGCACAAGAATCTTTGAGACCTGAAGAGAAAACCGATGGTCCGTCTTTCCCAATCGCATCCGCTCCCTCCTCTGCGAGGCGCGGGGTGTTGCTGTTTTTTGCCAATAGAGCCTTGACTGGGGTATAGATCTTGGGTGGGTTTTGCTTGACTTCAGGGGGCCTTCTCGAAGGAAGAAACGATGGATCCGACGATAGCTTCTTTTGTCTTGAAGTGTGATGTGCTGGACGACGGACTGGAATTGCTCATGTACAGCAGGTCTGCAGCTTCCAAAGAAAGGCTGCTTGGAAGCACCGAGGGGTCTGGGCGACAATGTGGAAGCGAACGGCCAGCGACGTTCACCGTCTTTGAACCAACGGATGTGTGGAAACCAACGGATGTGTGTCTTGGATTGCCAGGACATCCCGGAGTGTCTCGGGTGTGTTTGGTGAAGCATCGCAGTCGTACAGTGCCATAGGCAAAGGTCTTGGGTGACCAACCACAATGGGCTGCAAAGTGCCTTTGATGAAGTTCCTGAAACAAGTGACCCTGGAACACCCTGGAGATATCTGGAGATCACAGCGGATGCCAATGAAACAGACGCATCTTCCATCCCTGAACCAACATCAATCAACTTCATTTGCAATTTTGGTGCACATTGGTATATTTGGTTGTCGGGTTAGGGGGTACCAGCGGAAGCTTAGAACAACAACAAGAACAAGACCAGCAACAGGGAGGCGATGCACAGCGACTTGTGGCCATCACCGCATCAGGAAGACTATCACCTTCGAGCCAGATGCTGCATGGGAGGTTCGCGAGTACGATGGAGGCACCTGCTGGGAGGTGCAGTTCAGCAAGCCAGTGTTTTGGATACCAGAGACCAGAGCCAGTGGCAAGTGTGATAGGATCATTTCGTTATAAGTTTTAAGTACCTGCAAGGATGTTGGTTCATCAGCATTATCACTCATGCCGCGGCCAACATCTGCCAACATACATCTTGGCTGCTTTGGCACCTTTGTTGAAGGCTATCCACCAGATCAGGCATAAGTTCAAGGCAGAAACAATGCCTTGTTTTGTCTCACAATTTGGTTCCCACCTATAGAGGAACAGGCGGCTCATCGGATCAGGAGAAGCTCGAAATGGACTGGGGACCCAGTCCGACTCCAACTGGACCATGGACGGTCGGGGCCTCACCGAGTTCGAGGAGCCCGATGTTCTCGAGCGAGCCCGACGTAAGGCGCTTTTTCGCGAGCCCGACGTAAGGCTTTTGTTTTGTGTTATTTGGGGTATGTCTTGGAATGTCATGGGCCATGGGGGGTGACTTGGGGATATTTGCGGTATGTGTATAGTATGCATGACTTAATGTAGTGTAATGTGTTGTTAAGAGTGCATGCAGGTAGGTAGGTGTAGTGTAATGTGATGTGATGTCATGTCATGTGATGCATACATAGTAAACATATTATATGTTATGTAATATTATGTCCCTTCAAGACCGACGTGTTTTGTGTTGTCAATTTGCGCATGCCATATTAAGCCATCTCCCAGGAGCCCGCTTTGAGTGATTGATGTCAGATATTTAGACTTGGGCTTCAACGCTCTTCCCTTTGACATGTTTGTCCTGATCTCAACTGGCTTTTCCTGTAAGTTCTATGTTTGAATTTGCTTTGTTTTCCACATGCTCTAAATATGGTTGCTTTCCTATCGCATCGCGAAGCCTTTCCTAGTCCAATCAGGCTTGGAGAAGAAACAGAGCATAACAGGACGATGTAAGATGATTTGAGTAGGACCCTGAGTAGGACAATTCCTGGTATGGAAGGGTCAATCTTCTAAACTACCTTCAGAGGGTTTGTTTGATGCTAAAATACTATTTTACATTACTTGATGATTGATTTGTGTGGCACACTGAGCAGCATCAATGGAGCCTTTACTGCTTGTGACTACTGAAGTAACGCTATGAGGACATACAGCATCATTTTTAACAAGTATAGTAGAAGGCAACACCGCTGAAGACTATATGCTTCCCTTGAATTAGTTGACACATCCATAGATAAGAGTGCAAGAAACTACACCACAAGGGATATGATAGAACCCCAATTCATTGATCAAGCAATCTCAATACTGGGAAAACTGTCCGAAGCAGTGTATATATACAATTGTACACAGCATCATGCATGTTTGTGGTGCAGTGGTATCCAGACTGTATTAATTAACATCACACACAAAGAACTAGAGCAATCAAACATGAGCCAAAAACACTTGAAACAGATACCATCATCTACCAACAAATTTGTTAAAGAGGTAGACTTTGGGAGTATCATACGTATATGTATATAGTATATACATATATCGCACCCTCCAAATCACCATAATGAACGATGATACCCCTAAAATCTGACCAACTGTCGTGTAGTTAAAGAGGGTGCCATATAAATATGTGTATGTATATAAATATACGTTATGTTTATGCAATTGGTTGTGTAATCCCTTTCTTCGTGATGTTTGTGCACTGGAAGTACCCAGTGCTGTGCAACTGGCCCAGATGCAGATGCAAACGTTGGCTCTAGCCGGCATGTAGGAGTTGTGTCATCCAAGGGTTTTGCATGGCTGTGAAATTGCCTACATGCATGAAGTTTGCCTTTTTTATACTTTGTGAAGAATCATTACCTGTTCCATGCTGTTCTTCTTTGACTGTTTTGGGCTTCACCCACAGTAGTGGAGCTGTACCTATTCCCTCTGAACAAAAAAGCAGGAACCAATTTTTCACACCGAAACGGATGGCTCGACGCAAATAGGAGACCGTGGACCTGGGGGAGAATGTCCGTCAAATGCCCGTGGTGAAGGCTGGTCACCGGCGGTCCGTGGACGCAAGATACAAGCGAGTTTGTCGCAGGTAAAGGACAGGGCTTAGGATGACATAGGATGGCTGGCACCCAATGCTATTCATTATTGATTATATATATATATATATCTATATTATAACCCTTCTCGCGGAGGCAGGCAACGAGGCAAGGTTCAATTGAAACAGGGGAGCAAAATAACAACACGTTGCTACTGAACTTTGTGAATGTGCACATCGCAATCAATAACAACTCCTCCTAGTGAAAAGATAGGGGTTTTGTTTGTGTGTCAAAAGGGGAAACATCGTTTGCAACAATGTACATTGGACCTCAAGGTTGTTTGAATGCCAAAAGGCAAGTGAAAGGGAGTCGAAAAGACTTGAAGTAAATTGTGTTGCTGGATTTGGTGGAAGATTGTATTCATATATATATATATATATTCATGTATAGATATATATATATACGTTTTATTACTGCAATCTACGAACCAATTGAAAGAACCAATTGAAACTGAAGTGGATGTTTTTTTTGGTACTGCAGGAATTGTAATTATTGCAATTGAGAAGGATGACCTTATTTGACAACAGTAACTTAACTTTATCAGGCAGTTGAAAGCAATGTTTATGAGTGACAAGTGTTTATGTTTGATTGTAGATATTTGGTTTTCCTAAGCGGTACCCGGGTACTCTTTGCAATGTTTTGGAGAGGGTACCATCAATACATAGTTACATTGATTCATGACTTGAGTTTGAATTGGATACGATTTCAAGTTGGTTAATGTGTTGAATGACAATTATTTGGGTTTAGAATGTTTATTATTGTCACCTACTTTACGGATTTAATTCTAAATGCAGGTTTGTTTTTGTGGAGCACGAAATTGTATAAGTTTATTACTTGCTGTTGCACCTTGACAGCCAGGTGGAGTCTAAAACAGCTTTAGTCATGGGAGATTAGAGGGACCCCCTCACATGGGGGGCCCTCACACTGAATGTTTGGTGATCATATTGTGACCTTTGGATCCTTTGGATCCTTCTACCGTAGTAAACAGTAGTTTACCTGACTGAAGTGACTCACATTGAAGTGCAGGGTTGTTTCGACAAAACTCATTTATACAGCCCAACAGTAACAGTACCCAACAGTGGTTTAGAGGTGGTTGAGAGTGGAATTAGAGTCGGTTAAGAGTGGGTCAAGAGTGGGTTTGTGCTTAGTGTAAGTTAAGACTGAGTTAAGAGTGTTCAAGAGTGATTTAAGTTTAAGAATGGTCAAGAGTGAGGGTCCAATCCAAATTCCTCGTAAATAGCCATTATTTGAAGGATCCCTCACCTCAACATCTCCAATAGGCGACTCGTCGTGAGCCTCCACCTTTAACCGATTTACAATTATAGAACATGAAAGTAAGTTCGGTGCAACCCACAAACCAAACGAAGTTGAGAGTATTTTTGATTATTGTTGAACAGCACGCAGTCGATTATCGTGATGCTTAACTGTGCTGCAATTATAAATGTAATACGTGCTAGAATCAAATTAGCTGAGTATCCCGCTTACTCTTGGAGACCACAGAGGTTGTTCATTGTTGTGTAAATTTGGTTTGCGCATTGCTGATCTTTTTTAAAGGCGAACACATATATATTCATTCTTCCGTGTTTTTGGAGGTCAAATTATGCCAGTACTGGAATATTTGTCCAGGCAACACTATAACTATATAAACATGTCCGGTGATTTACTAGAGTAAATTCATTTTTTGGCGATAGGGCCTATAGGGTTCCAGTCCAGGACAGTTCTTGTCAGAGTGGCTGTTTGTAGTACACATATACTAGGTTGTTCCCTATACCAGGGGATGGTCCCCTAAACACTGCCTATTTGCGGAGCAACATGGGCATTTACACATTGGCAGCAAGTTCCAACAGTGCTTACTGTTTCCCATAAAGTCATGTTGAACTGTGATTTATCATGCCCACCCCCACTAAACAAAGTGAAGGACGGTCTACAGTGAGAGTTCCACCAAAACAATTGCAGGGAGTTTGGCCAAGGAATTGTTCGCAAGATGGGAAAGAAAAGAACGGGAATTCCTTTTGGTGAACTGCCTTCTGAAGAGAACGATTGACACAAGCCTTTTGTACACAGCTTTGTTCTGAATTCCTCCGGTGTTGGACTGGACACGAGGAAATCTATCAAATCAAGAAATCAAGAGGAGATCAGTGGTTCAGTGGTGAATTCTACTATATAGTCCTTTGCATTGTTCTGAAGCACTTCATATACAGTCAGTCAATTCATGGGTGCCCACGGGCTACCCCAGTGGAAACTGAATAAGGAAATTATGCTTGAATGAAGCCTCTGGAATTTTCCAAACAACAATATCAAATAGTGGTGGTATTGCTTAAAGGCCAAGACTGACTGGGGAGAGGGAATGCATACTCCACAAAATTGTTTTGGACAGACACTTTTGACCATTCCCACCCCTAAAGCTAAAGCAATTCCAATGTGTGTGTGTGTGTTTTTTTCTTCGGGGGGGTCAGGTGCAAGGCGGAAAACATGTTATTATTGATTCCATTCGATTTTAGTGCGTTGCAGCATTGCCTTCTAGGCGACTCCGAATGAATATCAAGCATATCCCTGCCTGGCGCAGCCTCCAAAAGGAAGATCCTTTTGGTTTTCTCTTGGGGAGATGAACCCCGACCCCAGGATGGGGACCGAACTTGACCACGTCACTTCACGCGCACGTCCTCTGCACTTCACGCCGTCACGCAGAGGTGAAGCACGTTGCTTGGCGCCATGCAGCTACAGTGCTGGAAGAGTGAGATGTGCCAATTTTCGACCAACATATTATCACCTATTCACTGTAGGTCCTAGGTTTCAGGTTTGGCTTGTACTGTATTCTATCTAGGGGTGACTTGAAGGGCCCGGAGCACAACCTTTCTCAGAGAATGATGGCGCTTGGCACGCCAAAGGCGCCAAGAGCGCAGTCCTAACTGGAGCCCCACGAATTATGTTTCAAGCATGAGTAGAACAGTTCAAGTTTTATGTTTGTTTTTTTCCCGAATGCGTAGCGAAGGGTTCTCGTTTAACTCTGGGGGTCTGGGGGTAGAGTCTTGTTCGCGACCCGTTGCTTCTATGTTCGCAACCGTCCGCAACCGTTCGCAACCGTTCGCAACCGTCCGCAGTAGGTCGCTAAGGCGCTGCCATTGGGGGAAGCTTTTGCAAGTGACTTTTCAATGATGTGTCACGTGTCAGTTTGCGCCGCTATTCCATTGTGATTTGCATGAAAATGACATGCCGCGCAAGAAACGTGATGCGTTTCGCTGCACAGGCGCAGCGTTTTGTGAGATCTGCAGATTGCTGCGCAGTTCCATTGGGATTAGCGTTTGGAGAGTCGTGTTTTTGGGGTGTTGGATGTGGCTGTGCCATTGGGATTTGCGTTTCAGGGTGTGGCATCGAAGCTCTGTTTTCGTGACAAGTCTCAGCTGAAATGCCGATTTTGGTGGATGGGAGTGTGCTCAGAACGGGTCGAAATCATTCCAAACGTGTGGTGTGGTGCAAATTTTGTTGAAGCTCACATGAGACGATATTGTCACTTTTCGTGGCAGGCGCAGTACTTTGTGCGGCTTTTGAGGTGTGGAAGTGCGATTCTCGTGGCAGGCGCAGGGAGTCGTGAGGTTGCGAGGTGTGACGGAGGTGACATTTCGTGGCAGGCGCAGTACTTTGTGCGCGTTAGACGTGTGGACGCGGAAAGATTCGTGGCAGGCGCAGGGAATCGGGAGGTTGTGAGTTGTGGTAGAGGTGAATGTCGCTGTCACATTGGGATTGGCGTGTGAGCGGGTGTCGCTTGGAGGGGCTGGAATCGCGAAACTGCTTGGCAGGGCTGCGTGATGTGTGTGCTCCGATGGGTGTTTCCGCTGGACTTTTGGAGGAAGTCTCGTGCGAAACGTTCGTTTTGCAGACTTTGACATGTGAGTTTTTGAGGAAGTCTCGTACAAAACGCTCGTTTTGGAGACTTGACGTGTGACTTTTGGAGGAAGTCTCGTACGAAACGCTCGTTTTTGAGACTTGACGCGTGACTTTTGGAGGAAGTCTCGTACGAAAAGCTCGTCTTGCAGCCTCGCAGCGTGACTTTTGGAGGAAGTCTCGTACGAAGAGTGTGCCCTACAGGAGTGTCCCACAAGAGTATCCTACAAGAGTGTCCCACAAGAGTGTCCTACAAGAGTATCCCACAAGAGTTTCCTACAAGAGTGTCCCACAAGAGTGTCCCACAAGAGTGTCCCACAAGAGTCTCCCACAAGAGTGTCCCACAAGAGTGTCCCACAAGAGTGTCCCGTATGAGTGCCCCACAAGAGTGTCCCACAAGAGTGTCCCGCATGTCCCACAAGAGTGTCCTACAAGAGTGTCCCGTATGAGTGTCCCACAAGAGTGTCCCACAAGTGCGTCCCACAAGAGTGTCCGACAAGAGTGTCCCATAAGAGTGACCCACAAGAGTGTCCTACAAGAATGTGCAACAAGAGTGTCCCGCAAGAGTGTCCCACAAGAGTGTCCTACAAGAGTGTCCCACAAGAGTGTCCCACAAGAGTGTCCTACAAGAGTGTCCCACAAGAGTTTCCTACAAGAGTGTCCCACAAGAGTGTCCCACAAGAGTATCCCACAAGAGTTTCCTACAAGAGTGTCCCACAAGAGTGTCCCACAAGAGTGTCCTACAAGAGTGTCATTTGGACATATGTAGCTTTTCGAACGTGTTTGCATTCGGGTTCGTGGGCTCCATCTTGTTTTTTTTTAAATATCCATGTCACATTTGCCACCTTTCATTGCCAGGTCCTTTGTAGGTGTCATTTTGTTTTCATACCTTTTTGTTTGAAGACCTGGTTCAACCTTGGGTCCTACACACCACGCCTCGCGGAACCTAAAGCTGCGCTGTTTCGAAGACCGGAGCACCACTTCCGAGGCCCGGCCACAAGTGGCCCTGAACGTGGAGCAGCAGAGGTGGGGCCCGACACCGGTCCCGTCCGGTCAATGACCGGTCTCGTCCGGGTGGTTCGTCTCGAACGACCTGGTGGGTTTGAAGCACTAAGCACCGTTGACGGGAAACTGGTTTGACAAACAAACAAGCAAGCAAGCAAGCCTATATATTTACTTGAAAGAAACAGGAAAACACACCTTGTGGTTGTGGGGGCTTCATGTTTTTCCTTTCCAACTTGCTCTTTTCCTTTGAAGTCATCACATCCGGGTGGGCCGTTTGGTCCAGATCGTGAAATGATAACATCTCAGGCTTGTGTTCAAACCACAAGCCCTCCGATTACTTGGTGTCACATAAATGGTTTTTGTGTATGCATATATTATATAGTGTTTGCTGCATGTTGTATGCTGCAAGAGCAGGATCAACCCAGATTATGAAATCGTTTGTCAAGCCGTAAGCTTAGATGGGTGACCCGATTTGAAGTTTTTTTTTTGGCCTTTGCCTTTGCCTTTGTTTCATACACTTTCAAGTACTTAGAATGTAATAGACCGATAAACTTGAACTCGACTCACCGTGCCCTCGAAACAATTGCTGTATTGAAGAAACGACGCCGAGTCATATGTCATGTGGAATATTGTTTTGCATGTTTTGCATAACGGAGGGGGGGGGCCAGCAATATGGACTACAGTGCAATGTCCAACTGACGGGGAATAAGTAAAAAACACGTTCCACCCATTGCACACACAACTGGGTGCAACGTCCAATTGCTCAAACTCGCCGTTTTGGCCTCGAGTCGCTCAAACTCCGCCAGGCGTTTGACGCTGCAGGCGATGCGTGGAGAGAAGACTCGACAATTCCAGGTCTCCCAAGTGTGGTACGTGGCTCGGGCACCAAACGGGGCTGGCGGAAAAGCGCTGTAGTTGGTGACATGTTGTCTTGAAAGACCATGTCCGCAAAACCGTTTTGCTATTTTGCTGTGTCCTTGGTCCTTGTGACCTGTTCCGGACCAAGCAAAACTCCTAATTTCATGCCAGATTGAACAAATACAAAGATCTCACTCAATGTTGACTCTTGATTAGTGTGAACCCCCCCTCCCCCCTAGTCGAATCCATGAGACTCCTGATTATTAATTGATTCCAGAAAAATCAAGAGGTCAAACAAATTATACAATAGGACATCAAATTAAAAGGACACATTAATACGATATTCTTACATCCCAACTGTGCGGACATTAAGCAATAATAGCATTTTAATGCAAACACAATATAGATAATGACTAAAAGAAACGGTGCAGACATTAATGTGGGAGGGGTCACTAATCAAGAATCAACATTCATGCAACATTTAAGGTGCTGGTGCCGCCCTTAGAGTTTTACATGTGGCCTGTCCTGTGCGTTTGTGTTGGTAGCCTACCAGACTGTAGGGCTATTTGTATCAATCTGTTTGCCTTGCATCCGTAGCGGCAAGCATTGACCAACACCCACCAGCTTAGCTTGTCCGTCGCGTGTAGATAAATATACATATATACATACTTCATTACATATCTATGATCTATCCCTGAGGATCCACTTACTTTCTCAGAAGGTGATTGGCCCAGCTTCTTGTCAGGACGTTATTGGGC